TGCAATACACAGAGATGAGGGAGTCTGACTTAAAATGAATTTGCTCAAAACTGAACTAAGACAGGGATACACCCAAAACCTGTCTAGAAATATAAAGGACAGTAATACCTTTAAGGCAGTGTGTTCAGGAGCTAGTTCACATAAAAATGGCTTATTCAGTAGGATTGAATGTAATAATTGTGTCGAAATCTGGAACAGTTGATAATTATTTAAATAAGATGTTTGGTGTGTATTAGACTTGGGCATTTCAGAAATTTTCGTTTCGTACGAATGTATTCGTACGAAAAAGAAAATACTTTAGTCAGAACCGAATTTCGTCAATTCTTTCATTCGTTTTCGTACGATATTCGGTAGTATTTTCGTTTCGGCTAAACTTGTTTGTTCATTCGGCGCGATTTAATTGAGCCAAATGAATTGAATACATAAAACTATGTTCCCTAATCCCTAAATACCGAATAGCTTCAACCGAACTCAGTAAAACCATTCGTTTCAAATGTTGTACATTGCTAACAACATGGCATTGATTGAATTGTATTACGCTTAAAACTCCCGAACCGTCAAATGCACGAACGCTGGCATTCGCATGAAAATGTATTGGCGCTATTAGTAAATTACCGAACACCATTCACTATAGTCATTCGTATGTCGAATGGTATTGCAAATACAATGCAATCATAAAAGTCAGTTCCCTAATCCCTAAATAGCGAATAGCCTCAAGTGAACGCAGTAAAACCATTCATTCGTTTACATTTTCGTACATTGATCTCCCAACACATGGCATTGAACAATGTTCTAATCTATTTACGCCTAAAACTCCCGAACAAATTCCCGAACCGTCAAATGCAAGAACACTGCCGTTCGCATGAAAATGTATTGGCACTATTAGTAAACTACCGAACACCACTTACAATAGTCATTCGCATGTCGAATGACATTGCAAATGCAATGCATTGCTTTTGCTTAGTTTCTTGGGCTCATGAATCATCATGCTTCCCTGACAGGTGGTACTGGCAACACAGTATCATTTTATAAGGGAGTGGGAAAGAAGTAGTAGCCAATTAAATAGGCTTTTACATACTGCCAGACAAAACTGTAGAAAAAAAAAGTATCAACTCAAGGCAGTCCTTCAATGCAAAATCTATCCAGATTTTCTATAGGCCAGCCATTCAGCCATTTTGGAGCTCAGCCAGCCCACCACCCTGTCAGCCATTTTAGGCACTTGAACACTGAGCCTGCCAGAAGTGGCCATGTCCTCCTCCAGCTCCTCAAGTGAGATAGTAGTCATGGATGTAGTGGAGGGGGGCATTGGCCACTCTGGCCAGGAGATAGGAGAAGCAAGCAGAAGCAGAGGCAGCCCAGGATCTTAAAAAGAGCAGATCCTGGGAGGAAGAATAAATATGCAGATAGCTTTCGTGCAGAGGAGAATACAGTACTGGTAAACAAACTTTGCCAGTACTACCAATGTATATTTGGGGGAGCAGCCAAAAAGAGTTCCAGAGCACAGAAGGAAAATCGGTGGAGGAAGATTGTGGCAGCGGTGAATGCTGTTGGAGGGAACAACCGCACCGAGGACGTGGTGAAGAAACGGTAAGTGCACTTATATTCCTAAAAAATAATTTTCTTTATGCCATGTTTTATTAAAACTTATTTTTTTCCTCCATGTGCTTTTGCTACACACACCCACTAGTGGCAGCTATGCTTTTAAAGTCTTTTAAACGTGAGGGTTGGGTCACTTAAGCACATAGAGGGAAAAAACACCATGTGCTTTAAAGGAACACTATAGTGATAGGAATACATGTTTGCATTCCTGTCACTATAACTGTGAAAACACAGTTTAACCTCCCTCTCAGCAATGTAACTGTAATTAAAGGGACACTCCAGTGCCAGGAGAACAAACCGCCTCCCACCCCTCATCCCAGGGGGAGACCAATTGTGCATGCGCTGCCGCCGGCGGGGTGAGACCTAATGCGCATGCGCTGCAATGCTGCACATGCACATTAGACCTCCCCATAGGAAAGCATTGAAAAATGCTTTCCTATGGGGGTTTCAGCGACGCCACTAGAGGAGGAGTTAACCCTCCAAGGTAAATATTGCAGTTTATGAAAACTGCAATATTTATTTACAGTTGCAGGGTTAAGGGTAGTGGGAGTTGGCACCCAGAAGTGGTCTGGGTGCTTGGAGTGTCCCTTTAATTACTCATCCTTATAGCAGAGCTGTGCTCTGCCTCCTTGGCTGCGATCTTCATAATTGACAAGATCAGCAAATCCAATGCTTGGTCTGGGTGCCTATAGTATCCCTTTAAACATGTCAGTAAACATATATATAGAAACATATTAAAGTAATTAATCAATTACACATGTCATCATGTCATTGCAGTTACTACGACATCAGGCGGATGGTGAAGAGGAAGGTGAAGGCAGCAGCCGCCTCCAGGAAGACAGGAGGCGGTTCACAAGAACCGGACCTGCTGCCCTATGAAGAGGAGCTCCTGCAGTTCCTGGGAAGAGAAAACCTCCTTGGGATTGAGGGGACACCTGGCACTGAAACATCTGAAGGTACGATGTTAAAGGACCACTATAGTGCCAGGAAAACAAACTCGTTTTCCAGGCACTGTAGGGTAATTAGGTCCCTCCCCACCCTCGTGGCCCCCTTCCCACTTCAGCCACTTACCTTTCTCCAACCCCTTCAGCCACTTACATTTCTCCAGCGCAGGGCTCCCTCGGCGCTGGGGAACACTCCTCCCTCTGCCGACGTCAGCTCCGAATGCGCAGCAAGAGCCGTGCACGCATTCAAACCACCCATAGGAAAGCATTACTCAGTGCTTTCCTATGGACGTCCAGCATCTTCTCACTGTGATTTTCACAGTGAGAATCGCGGAAGCGCCTCTAGTGGCTGTCAGTGAGACAGCCACTAGAGGCTGGATTAACCCTCAGTGAAACAGCAGTTTATCTAGAACTGCTATGTTTTCAGCTGCAGGCTTTAAACTAGAGGGACCTGGCACCTAGACCACTTCATTGAGCTGAAGTGGTCTGGGTGCCTATAGTGGTCCTTTAAATTCATATTTGTTAGTCGAAATGTACATATATCAGTTTGCTTGTGTTAACCTTCCAATGTGTGTTTTCTATGCCATCAGTGCAAGCCCCTCAATCCCCAGAAGAGGCACCAGGAACTGCAGGAGATGCTGTCTCCACGGAGAGCGGGGCAGCAGGTTCACCTCCTGTCTCCCTGGAAATGCGCCTGGCTTCACTTTCCTCTCGTAAGTACTTGCATAGCATTGTTAGATAAATGTTATGTGTGTGTGTGTGCGTGCGCATTTAAACATACACACACGTATGTGATTTTACTGTATATGAAGTTAATTTATCACATACATGTATTTCAGGCCATCCGCAACTTGTCGACGTTTCTTCACCACGTACGAGTGTGGTTTCCCTCCAACAGCCGGCCACTGGTGTCCAGGAACAGGGATCCACTGCTGAGCGTAAGTAAAAAATGCTTTAACTGTACACATTTTCTTTGCAGGCATACTAGTTTATGTAACAGGCGGGGCCGGGTCGACCGCTAAGCATACTAAGCATCTGCCTAGCACGTGCTGGCCAGGGGGCTAAATGTCTGGGTGACCAGCAGGGGTGGGGGGGAGCTCACATTGCTCCTCTCCTTCTGTTCACTTTATGTACTGTGGCTGAGTGGACCACGTGTGATCTTATCTACCATCTTCTTGGCCTGACAGGAAGCTGAGTGCAACGATCAGCTTCCTGTCATGCAGAAGAAACAGGAGATTCTCTACCTGGGGACGCTCGTCCACGATACATGTAGTGAGATTAGAAGGAAAGGGAGGTGGGCACAAAGACATGCAAACAGACAGAGAAAGGGCTAGGGGCGACAAAGATGCATAACTATACTTAGACATAATAATAAATTAATAGCATGACTGCATATATCTTATTTCCAAGTTTAAATAATATTGTTTTACAGATAATAGTAAGCATTGCAACATATGACACATGCTAACAATGTTCTTTCTCTGTTCTCCCCTATAGGTTCTGATGGTACTCTCCCCCTGCAAGAGGAGGGTACCATTACACTAACAGCAGTGGATCCTGAGTCAGAGACATCAGTGGCCGAAGAAATACCACAACTTCCTCCACCATTGGCTGCGCTGTATGCGACGATCCAGGCTCGTCAAGATGAACTGGAGACGTCCATACAGCAGGATAGGGAGAATCAGCGAGAACTATTGCAGAATGTAATAACCGAGGTACGCTCCATGTCGAATATTTTGAATGAGGGCGTTAGGCAATTTACATCAGCAATGGTTTCCTTGCAGCAAAATATGCAGCGCTTTATGGAAATGAGGGAGGAAGAGTGCATTTTAATGCGCGCGCAAGCTGCCCATAATTTGGGCATAACCATCGCTGATGTAGATAGCCTAGTTCGTGAAAGACGTGCGCAGGGTCTTCCCAGAAGGGATGATGATGATGAATAGATATCTGTGGGAAGAATGCACTCAGATGTTTATTTCTCATTATCATCCACAATGTGAACACAACTGACGCTGTTCATCGTAGGTTGTTACATTCTCAATTTCCTCCTGGTTTTCCCTATCCTTCCCCTGAATATACATTGGTTATTCTCCTCTGCACTATATCCTCCCAGGACTGCTCCTAACAACCTGGGCTGCCTCTGCTTTGTTGCTTCTCCCACTTGCTTTTCTAAATAAAAAAAAATATTGGATTACAACTTCTGACTCCTCTTTTCTTTAATAATTTTTATATATATATATACATACATACACACACACACACACACACACACTTGAAAAAATATCACTATATATAAATAAAAATAATTACAAAAAATATATATACACATAAAGCAAATAGTGAACAGAGCACTCCTTAGGAAATTTTCAATTGTGTATTTTAGTAATCTTGATTACTTATTAAATACATGATTGAAAATTTCCTAAGGAGTGCTCAATTCACTATTTGCTTTATGTTTGGCACTGGAAGCACCCAGGTATTACAAGTTATATTTTTTAATGATGGTGAGTGTCGGATTATATATATATATATATATATATATATATATATATATATATATATATATAATAATTCTATGTATATATTTATGTAATAGTTTTAAATAATTAGGTCATTTTATTAATTACAATTTGCAGGACCTGACTGACAACCCAGGCCAAAAGTCCAGGGAATTTAATTTGCTAGCACTGTATATAACCCTGTAACTTTCTATGACACCATACAACCTGTACATGTGGGGTACTGTTTTACTTCACTGAACACAAATTTTAGTGTTTCAATGTATTACAACGATGCTATCGTCAGTGAAAGTGACATTTTTTACATACAAATGGCACTTACCTGGACGAGATAATTGTTGTGATACGTTTTACTGTTTTGAAACACTAATTTTGG